GCAGGAATAAACATAGCTATCATGTTGATGTTTCGCATTCTATTTGACTAGGTTGCTTGGCCGCTCAATATCGTCATCACCGAGAGTTCTATGATGAAGTACAATAAGATACTGTCATTTATGCTGCAACTAAAAAGAGCATCCTGGGTTCTACGAGATGTCTATTTTCATCTGAAGCGTAGTGGTAAGCATATCACCCTTCTTGATTCCAATCAATTTGTAATGGTGCCATCACTTTTATGATGTCATTGCTTTACATTAATCCAATGGTAGAGTATTATAATTACCGGTATAATTGGTCCAAAGATGGATAGTGTTGGAATGGTATAATTTGCTAAGCAATATGCATGATTGCGCCTAATGTAAATTTAAAATATATTTCAGAATTGGAGAGCTAAAATAAAGCTTCTCGTGTGTAGAGAAAAAGTGAATTCCCAATATTTTCGCAACTGATATAAAGTGTTTGTTATACTTGTATTGTGTCAATGTATGGTCAGTATGGTGTCTTTGGACTGCATGTATTAAGTGGCAAGATATATGTCGTGAACAATTTTCAGTGCACTTGAATATTGGTTATCAATTCGTCTTTTTGCTTGATTTGTTTTGTTCAAATTGTATTTTTCACAAATGCATTTGAATTGTTTTCTACAATTTTCAGAACAAAAGAATCCACAAACACTTCCTGTGTATTTATAAGTCACATTTTTAGTTCAAGTATTGTTTTAACAAGTAGCCCTTAAATCAGAAAATTACTGACTGTTATGAACCACTTATTAAGTGTTGACAGTTCCATAAAGGCTGAATACGAAAATTTTATGATTTTATGTTATTATACATCTGACACCAAAAACAATTGAATCATCCATTTGTTGTTACAGATTGCACATTATACTCTTCGGTTGCCTTTCAGGCTGTTATGTCTAAGTACATTATTACTACCTACAGGAAAAGATGTATAGTAATAAGGTTATCAGAGGAATACTGCAAAGTATGCACTCAGGCGGTACAGAATTGCATCGACCTATGTCCTGCATCTGTCAATGTGATCACTGTACTGCCTTTGTGCATACTTTGCAGTATTGACCTGTTTTAAAGTCCATTCCTGTAATATTCTGAAGACTTATTTTACTGCCAGAGTGGAGGTTTACATCGATCCTGTCTGTATTCACGTGTGTTAATTTATTCAGCAATATCCATTTGTGTATTTGATATAAACTGTTCTCCATTTCTTGATAGCTCTGATGAACCATGCTGGCAATTCTACTCAGTTTAGACACTTACAGCTTTTCAGGTAATAATAACAATACTACATTTGCTTAACTCAAAGTGCATCTGCAGTAGAAGTACACATACACAAGCATTCACTGTATCCTGGATTATTAAAATATGACTTATTATGACCATAGAGAAACCCCTGTCATTTATGTAAATGCTACTAATATGTCAAACACTGTAGTCATTTACTAGGAACCAGATTTTATGAACATACCCACCCTGTACTGTGATTTGAATATTAACCTGGTACCTCTGATAGCATTGTGATCAATAGTTTGTTAATATGTATTTTGGGGGGTTGGGGGTACTCTCTTATTGGTATATTAAACCATTCCATGCAAGCTTTTTAATAGTCTGTGTTATCTGTAGGCATGAAATGCAGCACTTTGTTCATGTGATGCAAGGGTACATGTCTAATCAAGTTGTACATGTTAGCTGGCTAGAATTCCAACAGCAACTCAAAGAGAAGGTTAGTATAGGTCTTGCCTCTTCCTTCATACTCTGAGTCATTAACATGGTATAGCATGTATTTTTCGGTATAACACATTGAAAGTGATAATATTTATTTGCAAACTTTTTTCAGGTTCATAACTTGGATGATTTACATCACTGCCACGCTGAATACCTCAATAAAGCTGTCTTCAGGTAAGATTCACTGCTTTGACTCGCACACATCCTGTATTTGATGGTAATCTTGTTAAGATAGCGACAGGCAACACTAAGTAATATTTTATATGTGATTGAGATATTCTCCACCAGTTATTAACAATGTATGTGTTTTCTGAAAGGCAAGATATTGGAGAATATTATCATGTATCCTTTGTGTACATATTTGCTCAAGAGATTGAATTACAGATGTTTCTATATAAACCTCTACAATAATAATCTTTCAAATGGAGTCTCAGAATTTGTATGTGCTCTTTAAGTACTGATGCTATAGTCTGTCAAACTTTTCAAACTCAATTTCATGGATGCGTTCGTGATCTTGTGTCCATAGCGCAAAATCAGAGGCTTATCTGAGCTGTAAGACAAAATTTTGTTCAAATTAAATTTTGAAGAAAAGATGACATTTTTAATAGTCATAATATTTAAAATTAGTTACTCTGAAAGCACAAAATCTTTTTTTACATTTGGTCACGTATAAACAGCTAATTTATGTTCAATATATTTCTAAACAATCGTACCATTGTTATACAATGAAAATGTGGTACACTTCTGGTCTCCCAGAAACTGATGAAACTGTGCAAAATATGTTTATTTGGTCCAAAATTAAAAATGAAATTATAGAAAAATATATAAAATTGTGCAAACTGTTTTGGCAGGAAAAATTATGGCGTCATATGAGTTAACAGAATTTTTAGCTCAGTATATCAAATAAAACTATTGTTTCTCCTCACTTAATCAGGTCCCTTTTGAATGATAAAGCATCCGCTGTTATGAAGATTATCACCAACATTTTGTGCCTGATATTAAAGTTCCGTACACAGCTGGTATCTGTCAATTGGCACTATGATCCCCTAGCTAGACACGCAGTGCATCCTGCGTTTGAAAACATGAAAGCTTCGTTCAAAGCCTTCAAAGAGTACTCAGGATTCCTATATAAATGTAAGTTTTGATTTATTTCTTCATAAGACTAAAATCAGTGTATATAATACATGTACCTTCTCACTGTTGAGATGTTTTTTTTTTTCTTGTATTTTGACTTTCAATGAATTTGCATTCATGCAGTTGTGTTAAAAGTGAACTATGTTTTTTTTAGCGCAATCATTGATGAAATCAAGTCGAGCCAACTTTCTGTTTTTCACTTCTGCTTAAAGCGAGAGGTGTAGTCACCTGCGCACATGTGAGAAATGAGTCCCAACCACTGATAACAACAAACACTAAAAACGCAAAGGCTCATGGGTAGAAGTTTGTTTGTGAACAATGACACACTATGGCCATCTGACGCATACACAGAAGACGACACCCTCGCTTCAATAATCATTAGTCTTATGGCTTTGATACTTTCTAGGAAGGTGCCTTGGATGGTTCTTCCTCAGATGTGGTTATTTTATTTCAATCTTCTAACTTCTGTGAATAATTTTGTCATTTTTTTTAAAAAATTGTTTTTTCAACTTCTTTTTGAAAAATGACTAGCCCAATTGCTTTGATATTTTATATGAGTACCTTGAGTGGACTTATTTCAAATTTTTTTCATTTTCTGATGACAGTTTCCATGGCACTATTGTAGATCAGAATGCTTGCAGACTATGCATTGAAAACGACAGTAATCAGTGTTCTCTCTCTAGAACATCATATCCAAACAGTTGTTACCTACCGTTAGCATCCACATAGCTCACCTTTAACTATCATTTGATGGTGTTGATCAAAGTTATTGTTATTTTGTGCTGAATTGTTCACATTCAGCTTTATCTCGGCGAATTCATAGTGTACATTTATGCTTGTGAAAGACACTATAAAATTATTGATGGAGATTCTGTTGTATCAATAATTCCTTTTCTATTCTTGAAAATTAATCCATGAGTGGTTAAAAATGCAAATATGTTTCAGCATCACATCTGGCAAACTATTTAATATGAATTTTGAGCATTCCTGAATTTTTTTTTTCTAATCTGCCCTGCTCCTGTCAGACTTCATTCATAACAATGTTGAATCAGTTTATAGACACGCCTTCTTCACCGCAAAATTAACAATCAACCCATTTACTATAGGCCAGCATAGTATAATATAGATGGCATTGAACCAGGGTAGTCAGTCTCATTACCTCATCATAATATTTAAATAATTACCTACAAATAAATCATTGATAAAAATCTTTGTTTACAGGTATGTGGATTGTTTACAAGCACCTTATTGAGTTATGGAGTGGGTTTCTTTACCTCAGATTGTTCCCTCAGATTAGGCTGTGAATTTATATAAATCAGCCGAAAGGGATTAACTTCGTGCCCCACCTATCAACCTTTGATAGTACTATCAGTACAAATCAGAAATCTAATTAAATGTTCGTACTAATAAAAATAAGTAAACTCTACCCATACTCTTGAGTGCCATATTTTTTTTTTCGCCCAAAATTTTGGTTCAACATTTTGACTGTTTTTTATGAATTTTTCTGTAATTTTGTTTGATAATTTTGAACCAAATGGACATAATTTCAAAATCAAAATTTGAAAACAAAAATATGTGGGTTTTATTTTGTGAAAGGTGACAAAAGTCAAAGGGTCAAAGTTCAACTCATAAAAGACAGTTGACTCTAGCAGTCAGGATATTTATTCTTATGATTTGAAATTTTTGTTTAAAATAATTATATAAATATATTTTATTCCAAAATACTGCATTTTTATGTATTGTATAATTTCAGTTGGATATTATCATTATGCATAAATACCCAGAAAACACACAGATTTCCCATAATCCAATATATATCTCTACTGAGTCAAATTTCACAATTTTCCCGAGATATCTTTCCAATAACCTACCCAGCAAAACATGCTTCAATGCTACACTAACAAGCATGGCTTCCTTGGCAACCAATTTGTTTAGTTGTCATGTTGAGTAAAATTTGGACCTTTGACCTCTTGCGTGATTTTAATGAGGTCATTATCAGCTGTTACTCAAATAATGTAAAATTACGTTCGTCCAGTGATCAATTTCATTATGATGTTCATGTGCGTTGTCTGTTGCATCATTTTGTTCATTACCTAAATGGCTGAAGTGGTTCGTACATCTATCATAGCTAGATTTCAGTGAGTAGGTCTGTACTCAATAAAGGTCCAATCTTTTTTAAATTGTCTGTCATTTGAGGCCATGAAAAGTAACATCTCCTGGGGAGCTTCTTTACCACACAGTTGTGTATCCTATAACAAAGAAGAGTACAATGGCCTATTGAAATAACAATACCCTTTGTATTCTGATACCACAATAAAAGCAGTGGATATGCCCTTACTGAATAAAGAAGTCAAAGTTCACTGCTACGCTTGGTCTGCCGTGAATGCTGACAATTCAATGAAGACATTTACTGTTGCTCTAATTGCTTTGGATATGTGTTATTATGAAATGGGTCATGGGAACGTATTGGATGTTTTCAGTCTCGCTGCATCATTTTGTACTTTTGTGTATTGTTCCTTATTGTTCCAGTTTACTGGATGTCTTTGATATAATGAGCTTTTCAGGGGATTTGTCGTTGGCCTTAGTGGAAATAATAATCTATTGTTTCTTTTCAGTATTTTAATTGTATTCCACATTGTTTTGTTTCTTTCTTTATATGAGTAATTTATTGCATGATCCGCAAGCGATACACTTCTCTAATACTGATTTATAATCTTACACCACTATAATTTTCAATGAGTTTTATTTGATCCAAACAAAGTACACACTCTGCTTTGAGTGCTTTAAAAATACTAATAATAGTGGCTTCCCCATCCCCAATTGTTCCTTACAATTCCGTCTAATCATTCTCACGATCACCATTGATATTTCTCTTTATTTCTCATTTTAGTGGTCAATAAACTCACTCGTGGATACCAGCCTCACTTGGATGATTTCATCTTGCGTCTTAATTTCAATGGTTTCTATGACAACAAAGTCGGATTGGTCAAGCCTCCATTTGAGAGATGATTATGCCTGCTTATTTTAGTTCTCTTTGAAATGTACTTTTGTTTTTTTTCAGCGTTTAGTTTTTGGAATAACATCCTGTGAAAACAATCATTATTACCTACATGTGCTTGTTGATTATTTAGCTATTAGATCTTGCTAAGATATCATACAAAATCTATTTTGTAGGTATTATAACAATTTATCATGTGTTTGACAGCAGGGGCTTTTCTGCATAAAACAAACAATGCTTTTGAACTCAATAAATATGTGCCTTGATGTCGCCGTACTGTCAGTCAACTGTCATAACTGGATTAGAATGCACCCATTTGGAAAAATCACCCATTGTAAGGACATCAACCATTATTTTTGATCTTACATTCACAAAAAATACTTAATGAGATGACATTCACCACACTTGCTTTAAAGAGGGAAGTCTAATAGAAAATACATTCATCTATAGATAATGAGATGCATATTTATTCAGATGGATTCATGCATAATTTAATATGTGCATAGTTAATGAGAGCCATGCATGTATAATAATGTGATGCATTTGTGCATAGTTAATGGATGTATTCTTGCATAATTAATGAGCTACACCACTCAAGCTTTTAAAGGTGCTACATGGAAATTTTGATCATTGCTTTGCATCATATATATATATATATATATATATATATATATATATATATGGGTCTGACAACCAGACAAACCAGGTTTGAATTTGTGTAGTCAGCATACATTGTCTCTTATAAAGAGAGTTTAAATACAAATATGATGTTCCCTATCTATCTTATAAACAGTTCAATAAGAAATCATTTATTATCGAGTGCTGCCATTATTCTACTATGTTAACCAGAATTATGTTTCTTTTTATTTCATTCAGGGATTTTCATTGTCATAATGCCCTTGCCTAAATAATCTTATTAAACTGTCAGTAACAGTTTTTCGATTTATATTTTTGTATATTGAGAAAGAAGAATGTATGTACTGTATAATTTCTTTGTATTGCTAATAAAAACCTGATTCTGTAAAAAATAAAACTTGTTTCAGTCTTATTTTCAGGTTTGTACGTAAAAGAGAGTCTGTGGTCACCTGAGCTACTGTATTACCTTACACTCTGCAATTAGTCCCCATTCGAACGAAGTATGAAAACGGGGACTTATAATTCGGTCTCCGTCTCTGCGTCCTTTCGGAGTCATATTTCAGAATCCTGTGGACCGATTCC